TGTCGCTAGTTGCCATACAAAAAAAATATTTGTCTTAAAGTATCGCAGTTTCAGGGCCCTGATTAGCGCTAAATAGTGTAAACTTCACTTCCAAGTTAACTCCACTTAGTTCACTTAATTATTACTGTATTACTTTATTTTAACTCCACTTGTCTCGTCCCCACTACTGCCATTGCTCCCACCAACAGTGTTACCATATGGAAATCTGAAAATTGTCTAATTTTAACATGGTAAATTTTAAATTTTAATTATTTTACAACAAATCTTACAATAAATAATTTTCATTTCGAAATCTAATTATAGTTTTCGTAATAATTATTTATTTGTTTATATCATCCACCGCCACTATATACCTATTTCTGTGGCGAAACAGTCACGCGTTCTGCTGTATCTCTTCCTCCGTAATCTTATTGGATGCGATTATCTCGTATGTATACTACGTAATTATGTATAATGTATAAAAACCTCGCACGCTTGAGTCGACATACCTCCTTTATTTAAATCGTAATACCTTACGAGTGAGACAGATCAATTTTATTTATAACTAGCGGCCCGCTCCTGCTCCGCTCGGGACTTTAACAAAATTTTCAACGATATTTGACGTTGTTTTATTTTTATTATTATTAACACTTATTGCTGCATAACTATAATAGTTAGACATATGCTGTCGCGACACTTTTTGTAAATAATAATGTGTTCTACAAAGTCGAAGTACATTATTTTATTCTATCATCAATAGTTTTAGCAGAGCACACGATGTAAAGAATATTTTAGGTAATTTTGTTTACTTGGGTTACATTATTAGAGTTTTAGTAAGGATCACAAATTTAAAAAAAAAAAAAATATATCATATGTTACTCGGGAATAGTATAGCTTACAAGCAGTGAAAGAATGTTTCAAATCGGTTCAGTAGTTTCGGATCCTATTTAATACAAACAAATCTTTCCTCTTTATAATATTATAAATAGTATAGACAACAAACGATAGCGAATTTCTTGATGACTTATTAAACGCACAAAAATTTACTTTCAAATTCAACTATTTCAGAACTGACAGTCAAAACAAAAACTCCATAGAATCGCCATTCAATATACAATTATTATTAGACACGACCCATCTCAAATTCACTTCCACTGACCAGCGCAGCGGCCGGTATCCGTTCAATCACCATTACCTATTGCTATGTAGATTGAATGAATTACCTCAACCTTTCGCTTGATATATTTATAAGGACGATATTTCATTTAAATAAGGGCACTAGACGGTCTTCACGTATTCAATTCGGTGCTAAAGTTATTCATGGGTTGTGCTTAATATAGTTTTCCTATAAGGTTCGAAAGATTAACGAATTATCATATACATTCCGAACTCGAAATTAATATAAGATATGAAAAGTCATTTCACACCAGAATCAAAGTTTAGAGTTAGGGGCGTTGAAAATTGTAGTTGTTGATTTCTATAATTAATGTTGCTATTTTCTAAAACGTTATGAGCTTGCCAACCCTACTCAAAGTGCAGTTAAAGGCGGGTCACACTGTCAGTAGCCAACAAGTTACGAGCAGTGCCCGTTACCGTCTGTGGAGCCAGCCTAAAACCTTGTTTGAGATTTAACGACATAAAACGGACTGAGTTATTTTATGCTGATAAGATTTGTTCTAGTTTCAATTGGAATAAAAAATTTGAGTTGAATTAGGCCTCTTCTGTAGCCCCACTGCGGTTATGTTGTAAAGAAATAAAATATTAATATTATAGATTTATTGGTATGCTACATACAAATTCTTCTGACTCTCGTCGCCATCGCCGCATTGCGAACAAAAACACTCCGTGCTGCCAATTATAATACTTACTTCTGTTTTCCCAGGTAATAAATATGCACAATTGAAAGTATACTTAGCTTACTGTTTAGTCTCCCATCCTCTATTCTCATTTTATAATTTCTAAAATTTCATTTTCGCGGTCGCATACGACACATGTGTAATTCGTTGCTATTTTAATATTGTGCTAATGAATTCATTATCTGTGCCATCTACCTATTACCTTTACGAAGCAGCGCATGGCCTATCGGGAGAAACGTGCGAAGCGAAGAATCATGCGTGTGAATCATTTTTATTCTCCGAAATTTGTCCGTTTAGCATTTGTGCAACTACACTGCGAATGTGGGAAAATGAAAAAAGATCGCCGACCTAGCTTCTCCGGTTCTGCAAAAGCCCACTGAGGTCCCGATAAGATCCCGTCTTTGTATACTGGTATATAATTTTCTAATCTCAAATAAATCAACTTCCACTCATTCCAATCCGTATCATATTTCAAATAACAAATAGTTATATATAATTATTATAATAAATGATTATTTTTATAAAAAAGTCGATTACTCTACATAAAAAAAGAATAAGAAGAAATGCATGCCAAACAACAAATGTCACTGCACACACTGGCTTAAAGTTCTCCTTGCCAGGCCGTAAAATCTTGGAAAAAATATATTTTTGAAACGTTAATACCCTCAAAACACCGTGATCGCTAACGTAACTAATGCTCGTCCGTGAACTGAATATTCAGTGTTTGCATTAAAATTTATCTGTCTGCGGACCACGTCTTGTTTCCCTTGAAACTGAAATTACCGAGCGTTCAACCCGATAATTCCACTGTCTAAGCATTGTCAGCATTTGATATAATTTTACGTTGCATTTAAATTATGTATTTATTTCCAATGAACGGTGGCTGTCAGGTCAATGTAGCGCTAAATTTGTGGTAAGTATACATACTATCTGGCCCGGCAAACGTTGCTTTGCCATATAAATTATTTCTAGGAAAGATAAATAACCTATATACCGATTGCAACGCCATCTGCCGGATGGAATTGCAAATCTAAACCATTCTCGAATCCACCTGAAGGTACACAAAAAATTTCATTAAAATCGGTCCAGCCGTTTAGGAGAAGCTCAGTGACAAACACGCACAGAAGAAATTTTATATATACAGGGTGTCACAAAACTCAACGATAACCTGGTACCGGGCGAGAGGCCAAGGTATACCAGTTATGAAAAAAATAAGAAAAAAAATCTATGTCACTTAGTCAAACGATGATAGACATTTTTCGAAAAAGTTAAAAATTTGACACCCTTGGTCGCATTTTTAGGTACTGTGATCGCAATTTTCACAATTTTACAGTGATTTTTTTAATAATGTTATATCAAATAACAGTGCTATTAATCGTAACCACAAATGAAAGTAATAATCATTGTTAACTAAGTAAAATAAATTAAATTTTGACGAGTTATGGTTTATAAAATTTATGTCAGTCAACTTTGACACTCTACGTTGGAAAAAAAAAGTACTACACTACCTATGGCAAGTTTTTTTAAAAGATGGCCCATTCAGTCTAGATTTCAAAATAGTACAACACTTGCCACTTTTCTTGCCAATAAAACTGCTATTTCGTATTTTTTGCGAAAGGAACTCGTGGAAAATTTAATAAAAATAAAACGGTAAATTATCATAACACTTTATTATCCTCCTAAAACTAAAGCAGATGCTCAAATTGTTTCCCTCCAGCACGAATACAAGCTCTGCATCGCCTCAGAAATGACTTGTCCAGTCTTGCAAATCTCCTCGCATTGACTTCTGCATCAATTTTTTGGCGCAATTCTGTTACATTTTGAATTGGTTTTGAGTAGACCTTTTCTTTAATGCATTCCCAGTTAAAAAAATCTACGGGATTCAGGTCTGGGGAACGAGGGGGCCATGAAATTGGTCCAAGGCGCCGATCCATTTACCGGGATACAATTCGTTTAAATATTCTCTTACAGGCCGGGCATAATGTCCTCGGCAACCATCTTCTTGATACCACATTTCTCTGTAGATGTTGAGTGGTACATCTTCTAGCAATGTCGGCAAATCATTTTGAAGAAAATGCAAGTAGGTAGCGCCATCGAAATTTTCAGTCAACTCAGATGGTCCAATTATTTGACCATTTAATACGAGGGCTGCACTAAAAGTATCGGGAATGGAATATTTCCACTGTTCCTGTCATATTAAAATCTTTTTAATTGAAAACTACTTGGTTTTAAAAATCGAATACCATTTATTTATTTAAAAAAAGATTCTCGGTCTTGTCACGAGGTTTTGTCAAACTTGTTTAGTCGTTGAGAAAACGGAATTGACTCGAGAAAATTCAAGAGCGATGATTTATTATGACTTTCGAAGTGGTTTAACACAAAAACAGTGTGTTGACCGGATGATTTCTGCATTTGGTGATGAAGCCCCATCCAAAACCACAATTTATCGCTGGTTTGCTGAGTTTCAACGTGGACGTGTCAAGCTCAGTGATGATCCCCGTCAAGGTCGTCCAAAAACTGCAGTCACCCAAGAAAACGTTGATGCTGTGCGTAAGCTGATTGAGGAAGATCGACATGTGACATACCGCGAAATTCAGGCANGGTCACTCGACAACGCTGCAATTGGTCCGCGTTATGCACCACTTGGCGGATCGGTCCAACGCGCGCCAGTACACGGCCGCAGTCTTTCTCGATATCGAGAAGGCCTTCGACCGTGTCTGGCATGCGGGACTGATCTACAAGCTGTTGCGGAACACGGACCTCCAGCACGCCTATGTGCGACTGCTGGGGTCGTACCTGGAGGGAATATCCTCCCTTGTCGCGGTCGAGGGCACAAAGTCGTCGGTGCGCCCAGTCACGGCCGGAGTTCCCCAGGGAAGCGTCCTGGCACCAGTTTTCTACGCTCTATACACCAACGACATGGAGGTTGCCCTCAAGCGTGGGAAGCCGACGTGAAGTTGGCGCTGTTTGCCGACGACAGCGCCTACTTCGCGTCCTCAAATTTCCCCTCTGCGGCCATTTCGAGGATGCAGAGGCTGTTGGACCTACTGCCCCAGTGGCTGGACCGATGGAGGGTCGCGGTCAACGTGGGGAAGACCGCGGCTATTCTTTTCGGTCCAGTCCGCACAAGAGTCGTCCCAGGACAGTTCAATCTTCGTGGAGTCAATGTCGAGTTTAGGCCTGGGAGTCAATATCGACCGGAGGATGACCGCCCACGCCAAGTCGGCGTTGGCAGCCGCCCGCTACGCGAGGTTTCTCCTCCGGCCGGTGTTGGCCTCCAGGTTGCCGACCAGGACTAGACTCGGCATTTACAAGACGTATGTTCGTTCCCGTATCACGTACGCAGCTGCGGCCTGGTATCACCTCATCCCGCAGGTCATGCGGGTGAAGTTACAGGCCCAGCAGAATCTGGCTCTTCGCACGATAGTCGGAGCAGGGCGTTACGTCAGTAATGCCGTAATCGCCCGGGATCTGGATGTGGAGTCGCTCGAGGAGTTCATCCGGAGGCTAGCTCGTAATCTTTACGAGCGGGCNATCCCGCAGGTCATGCGGGTGAAGTTACAGGCCCAGCAGAATCTGGCTCTTCGCACGATAGTCGGAGCAGGGCGTTACGTCAGTAATGCCGTAATCGCCCGGGATCTGGATGTGGAGTCGCTCGAGGAGTTCATCCGGAGGCTAGCTCGTAATCTTTACGAGCGGGCTGACGGTGGACCCCACGAGCATCTCCACAACTAAGCTCCCTTGCACGCAAGACCACCTGATGGTCGGGCGTTACCAAGGGAGCTACTGGAACCCCCGGCTATGGTAAGATAGTCGGCTTAACCGGAGTGATATGGGAGTGCTCATAATGAGTGCCCCCATGGGACTGAGCTGTCCACACTCTTCATTTCCCCCCACACTGTTGGGGTGCCCCCCTATGGGGACCCATTTCTACCGCCCGTTTGGGTGGACCACTCCCCCTTGAGGGGAGTGACTTTACGTCGGTCCCTCCCCGCGACGGTCTTCCCCTTCTGGGGAGCCCTTAGCGGGTGAGCGCCAAACTAGTGCCGCGGCTCCCCCTCTGACTTGTAGAGGTGGGGCCGCGGCATGGGGCCGGTGGCGGGCCCCACGGTGCTGACTGTTGTCCCGGCTTTGTATATATTGTAATAGTAGTTAATAGTACGTATAGTAGTTTAATTTTAGTTAGTTATAGTTAGTAGTTAGGGAAAAAAAAGAAAAAAAAAATCAAGCAGAGGACAGCAGCCGGCGCCGGGGTGACTCCTCCGCGGGCATCACTCCTCCCAAGAAAGAGAACCAAGCCCATCGTATTATGTATATGTATATATGTTTTGTCGATGCTATGCAACCGTACGTACACACGCTGCGAACAGCCCTCCCCCGTCTCGTCCTGCATCCATACCACCCCTGCCCTATGTGGCAGGGAGCTTCGTTCCGGGCAGTGGGGTTTGCCCCGAGGCCTGTTCCGTGCCCCCGAAAGGGGGTACGACGACCCTTCTTCTTCTTCTATTTCTGCCGCAAGCCAATCATTCGCCTTTGTTTGAAAGAAAGTCTATCCATTGTACTAATTGTAATATGGAATAGGATTATATTACTTACGAAAATTGGTGCGTGTGCTGTATGAAACTCTGCTCATGTATGCCATTTCACCTGTTTCCTGTTGGACCTGACCTGTCGGCAGAGCAGTACGGCTTCCGAGAGGACCGTTCGACCGTGGGCGCGATTCTTCAGACGAGGCCGTCTCACGGGGCGGGGTGGCGCTGGCGATGGCTCTTGATATCGCCTTCGCATTGAACACCGTGCCCTGGACCGTGATAAGGAGAGGGGGGGGGGACAGGAGAGGCATGGAGTGGCCATTTTCGGAGGTCTGTGCTCGAGTCGTGGTCGGCCGACGCGATTGGCCAACCCCTCGTGGGGTCTACGGACCATTGAGGCGGCTTACCCGATCTTTGATGACTGGGTGAATCGTGGTAGAGAAAACCTCATCTTTCGTCTGGTGCAGGTGCTGACCGGGCACACATGCATCGGGAAGTACCTGAACCAGATAGGAGCTAAGCCGACGACGTACATAAGTGATCTTATTCTTATCAGCGGGTATTGATGTTTTTATTGTTACTAGTGGTCCCGCATTAGTCGAAATTCGACTATAATTAATTGAAATTATAACTTTGTACATTATTATGGTTCTATTAATAATCAAAGATACTTCTAGGTTCTATTAATTATGAAAGATACTGCTATAAGCACAGATTTCGCCAATATACACTGTTACAACCTATTTTCAATTTGACCACAGACTTTATGCAATAACAAAAGTTTCATAATAAACAAAGAGTCTACATATGTGTGTGTGTCAAACACACGGTACTGTGTGTAATGTTTTTTTTATTGATTTAATGTATTATTAATGCATAATATTAAAAAAAATAGCTTTCTGCACTCCTTCTTTATATTCTCTATAAGTGTGGGAAATTCCATACTCCTCCGTCCGCGCAATTTTCGTAAAAAGGATCCAAAGTTTTTGGTTTTTTATATATAGATTATATAGATTAATATTTAAAACCACAAACTTCAGTATAATGTAGAATGCGGGACAGTGCACTCTATATGGTGCAGCGGGTTGAATAAATCACTTACGGCCTGTCGAGTACTGTCACGCGAACTTTTATTAGTCACGTGATGACGTTGTTATATTCCATACCAAAATTATGGTAATTTTATGGTGGAGTTACTTTACTGTTCTCGTACTTGCTTTCCGCTCGCAGTTTCATCTACAGTTATATCGTGTAGGCGAAGACCCGTGGCATGAAAGATGGCCTATATTATTTTCCAGGGCTTACACTATTATCTTTCGAAATTTCTTAGAAATCGATAAATCACTCCAGTTCAAGAGAAAATAATTGTGAACTACTTAGATGTTTTCCAAATGAAAAAATCTATTCAAAAGTCTCGGACTCATCCATCGCTATTTGACATTGTTTGCGTAATTTTCGTGATTTTTATACATCATTGTATACGAGGGCGGCACTGAAAATTTCGGGAATTAACGAAGTGACACAACATTACTATTTAAAAATGTATTTATTGCTTTTCGAAGTATTCTCCACGAAATTTGACACATTTTTCCATACGATGGAACCAACAACCATTCCATTCGGAAGTTGGGGTCTCCAAAATGGCCGTTTTGTAGGCGTCCACAGCTTCTTCAGGTGATGAAAATCTCTGTCCACGCAATTTATTCTTTATTTTAGGGAAAGTATAGAAATCAATAGGGCTTAGGTCGGGGCTGTACGGCGGATGGTCTAATAATTCTATGTTTTCTTGCTCTAAAAACTCTTTTGTTCCGTGCGCGGTGTGAGAACTCGCATTGTCGTGATGGAGGATGGTGCGGCGGTTGCAGTTCTCTTTACGGAGTTCAGAAACGACCGGTGGCAAACAAATGCTAGCATACCATTCTGCATTAACCGTTCTTTGTCCCTCAAGAGGAATAGTCGTAACATGGCCGGTTTTGGAGACAAATGTGGCCACCATTTTTTTTGCAACACTCCGTGAACGAACAATTTTTGTTGGCTTTAATTCATTTTCGAACACCCAAACTCGTGACTGGTTTTTTGTTTCGGGTTCGTACGCGTATATCCAGGATTCGTCACCTGATACAATGTTGTATACAGCATTTGAAGATCCTGCGTGGAATCTTTCGAGAGTTCTGACGCACCAAGTAACGCGAGCCGCTTTTTGCTCTTCACAGAGCGAATGCGGTATCCATCGGGAAAACAACTTTTTTACACCTAATTGTTCATGCAAGATTATTTGTATTTGACTCATGCCAATGTCTAAAGTTGCCTGAATTTCGCGGTATGTCACATGTCGATCTTCCTCAATCAGCTTACGCACAGCATCAACGTTTTCTTGGGTGACTGCAGTTTTTGGACGACCTTGACGGGGATCATCACTGAGCTTGACACGTCCACGTTGAAACTCAGCAAACCAGCGATAAATTGTGGTTTTGGATGGGGCTTCATCACCAAATGCAGAAATCATCCGGTCAACACACTGTTTTTGTGTTAAACCACTTCGAAAGTCATAATAAATCATCGCTCTTGAATTTTCTCGAGTCAATTCCATTTTCTCAACGACTAAACAAGTTTGACAAAACCTCGTGACAAGACCGAGAATCTTTTTTTAAATAAATAAATGGTATTCGATTTTTAAAACCAAGGAGTTTTCAATTAAAAAGATTTTAATATGACAGGAACAGTGGAAATATTCCATTCTCGATACTTTTAGTGCAGCCTAGTAGTAAATAGAATACATCTACCTTCCAAATACTATACCTGTAGTGTAATGTCTTCGATTTTTTAATTATATGTTTTTTTTTTATTGCCCTTGTAGGCAGACGAGCATACGGCCCACCTGATGGTGAGTGGTTACCGTCGCCCATGGACTTCAGCAATGCCAGGGGCAGAGCTAAGCCGCTGCCCAACGCTTAATACTCTCCACAAGCCTCGTTTGAAGAAGGACATGTCATAGCGCTCGGGAAACACCGTGGAGGGGAGCTCATTCCATAGCCGGATGGTACGTGGCAAAAAAGACCTCTGGAAACGCACTATGGATGACCGCAGTGGCTCCAGGTAGGATGAACTCTACTCCGGTGGCGGGCGGTGCGATGGTAAAAACGAGATGCCGGTATCATCTCGAACAATTCCTCAGAGCACTTAATTAATTAACATGTGCAATTAATTAACAATAATAATTATGATAAATGTATCGGATAAAACGGTTCCGTTTCTAATAGTTCTTGAAACTATGTATTATTCAATGTGAGTTAGATATTTCAACAATAATAGTGAACCTATTATATAATTTTAAGTCTAAAGGAATAGAGATGACAGTTAAAAACCATCCATTAATCATAAATGTAAAAAATATATCTTAATGCTTAAATTTTAATCTTTTTGTTCAATTTTAAATTTACATTTTCTGAGCATTTATGAATATTATTATATCATGCAACTTTAATCTGTCATGCAATATAGCTGTTTTATGTACATTTATTCTCCTCTAATAAAAACTTGCATTTATCAGTTATTAATTATAAATAACCAGTAGAGCTTCCACATTGATTCGATCGTGTTTCAAAAACTATAAATTTAATGTTATTCAAAGAATTTAATATTGTTTTCGTTTAGTTCAGATATAGATAGCTATTTGACTACAAAGGTAGCGCCGACCAATTTGATTTTATAAAGTAATAAATTAAAATGAAACTTGTTCATTGACACTATAAAAAATAAAATTACAATTTCTGATTTTTTTCTTCTAGATAATATTTACGTTTTTATTGCGACGAAAAATATAATTATTCGTTAGGTCGGCTTGTAAAAATATTGTACATGATGTTTATTAAAATCATAAATGATGCAGCGTAGCAGTTTGACTATAAGCACAGAAAGTGGAGCAAATTCAACGTAAAGATCTGAACGGATAAGAACGTCATGTTTTTATTTGTGTTATATTTAGAATTTGTCAAATACCCAATCGTGACGTCATTCATACAAGCAGGTAGACTATGACAGGATACTTCCAAGATATAGGTGGACAGCGCCTTTGCTGTTTCCATTGCGCCGTTGATTTTTATTTTTTTATTTTTTTTTATATGTTTTTCTCTCAAACGCTGCAGTCGGGGACTGATTTTATATGCAGACGGAATGTCATGGATGCATCCAGGATGACAACCAGGTACTTGACCTTTCTGGCCCAGGAAATAGGTTGCCCGAAGAGGTTGACCGGGGTTGTGAGATTTCTCCTTCTAATGTGGGAGGAAGGAGGAGGAAGTGTAGAGTCTCCCCTTTGTAATATCGTCACTTTGCTTTTCGCTGGGTTGATGTCTATGCGCCATTTACGGAACTACTGTCCGAGGGTTACGGCTGCGCTCTGGAGCTTACTCGCGAATAGTTGTTTCTACTAGAGTAGTAAACGGTCATGTCGTCGGCGAATAAGGCTAACTGAGTCGGCGGCGACCGGGAAATGTCGTAAATAAACTAAATAGGAGCGGAAAGAGGACGGAGCCTTGCGGGATTCCAGTCGTGAGCAATCGCAGTGAGGAGCGGCTTCCCTTGCCTCGTTA